AGCACTGTCACTATACGTGAGGGTCCGTGCTGCCCACCGCCGTGTCCCAGTGTGGCCAAGTGGACGGGGCCCAGCTCCCTGTCTCTGCACGCAAGGGTCCACATCCTGCCGTGATCCCAGGTGGTCCTGTTCCTTGTGACTGTTTTGTGGGCCCTGACACAGACACCCAGATCCCAAGGCTGCCCCAGGAGGGGTCAGTGTGTGCCAGGGCCAGGGTGCCCTCGACCTCTGGAGGATTTACCCGATGGTAAACTCGGGTTCCCAGGGCAGGCCCAGCCCACTCATGCACCTCAGGCCCCCAGGATCTCTTTCAACTGGGCACTGAGTAGGCCTGCAGGAAACATTTCAATAAATAAGCAACAGTAAATAAGGGTTGCAGGAGAGAAACTTGGGGAGATTCAGGCTCTGACATCCACAGGCCAAACACAAAGGAACTTTGACCCAAGTCTCACACCTTATGCAAAAATTAACTCAAAATGGATCACAGACTTAAACATAAAACTGTAGGGAAACTGTTCTTAGACTTGACACTGGTCCATGAAAGGGGAATTTGATAAATTGGAATTCATCAAAATTAAAAACTGACACCTGGAACAGATCTTGTGAAGATGAAAATACGAACCATAGACTGGGAGAAAAGATTTTCAAACCACGTGTATCCCAGAGAAGACTAATACCTAGAATCGATCAAGAACTCTCAAAACTCAGCCGGGCGCGGTGGCTCACGCCTGTAATCCCAGCATTTTGGGACGCTGAGGCAGGCAGATCACAAGGTCAGGAGTTTGAGACCATCCCGGCCAATATGGTGTAACCCCGTCTCTACTAAAAATACAAAAAACTTAGCCAGGTGTGGTGGCACATACCTGTAATCCCAGCTACTTGGGAGGCTGAGGCAGGAGAATTGCTTGAACCCGGGAGGCGGAGGTTGCAGTGAGCTGAGATGGCGCCACTGCACTCCAGCCTGGGTAACAGAGTGAGACTCCATCAAAAAAAAAAAAAAAAAAAAAAAGCACTGTGTCCTATAGAGAAACAGGATCACTCAGACACTGCTTGTGGGAACATAAGATGGGGCAGTCACTCTGGAAAATAGCACGTAGTTTCTTAGCAACACAAAAAACCGAACTAAGCGTGCAATTACTGTACAACACAGCAAATTGCATTCTTGGGCATTTATCCCGAGCGAAGACACAAACCCGCACATGCATGAACACAGCAACTTGACTCAGAGAGCCTCAAGCTGGAGACAACCGTGGCATCCTTCAGTGGGGTGAACAAACCGTGGTACGTCTGTGCCCCGAAACGCTACTCGGCACCGAAAAGGAGCTAGCGGTGTGCCCAGCAACTGGGATGGAACTGTCAGAGAACGATGCTGCGGGAAAGAAGCTGTGTACTCTACGATTCCGTTGACACGACATTCTGCGGATGCCAGAATCAGGGCCAGCAGTTGAGGAGGAGGTGGTGTGACTCTGAAAGGGCAGCTAGGGCTGGGCGCAGCGGCTCACACCTGTCATCCCAGCACTTTGGGAGGCTGAGGCAGACTGATCACCTGAGTCAGGAGTTTGAGACCAGCCTGGCCAATATGGCAAAACCCCGTCACTACTAAAAATACACAAATGAACTGGGGGTGGTGGTGGGCGCCTGTAATCCCAGCACTGTCGGAGGGGTGGGTGGGTCCCCTGAGGTCAGGAGTTCGGGACCAGCCTGGCCAACATGGCAAACTCTCATCTCTACTACAAATATAAAATCAGCCAGGCATGGTGGTGCATGCCTGTAATCCCAGCTACTTGGGAGGCTGAGGTGGGGGATTCGGTTGAACTCGGGAGGTGGAGGTTGCAGTGAGCCAAGATCGCGCCACTGCACTCCAGACTGGGTGACAAAGCGAGATTTTTGTCTCAAAAAATAAAAAGGCAGCCGGAGCTGTTCTGTGGCTCGAGCATCAATGTTGAGATCTGGCTGTGATATGCTGGGGTAGTTTAGCACGACGTTACCACTGGGGGAAACTGGGTGAAGGGTGCACCCATCTCTGTATTTTGGGGTGGTTTTTTTTTTGAGACAGGGTCTCCATTTCTCACCCAGGCTGGAGTGCACTGGTGTGATCACAGCTCACTGCAACCTTGACTGCCTGGGCTCAAGCAATCCTCCTGCCTTAGCCTCCCAAGCAGCTGGGACTACAGGCAGTCACCACCATGCTCAGCTAATTTTTAAATATTTTGTAGAGCCAGGGTCTCACTAGATTACCTAGGCTGATCTCAAACTTCTGGCCTCAAGCAATCATCCCACCTCAGCCTCCTGAGTAGCTGGGACCACAGGCATGTGCCACCATGCCCAGCTAATTTTTTTTAAATTATCATTTGTAGAGACAGAGCCTAACCATGTTGCCCAGGCTAGTCTCAACCTTCTGGGCTCAAGTGATCCTCCCCCCTTGGCCTTGCAAAGTGCTGGAATCACAGGCATGAGCCACTGCGCCCGATCAGGACATGTGTTTTAACTTGCCTTGGGTCAATACTGAGGCAGGGAAGGGCTGGATCCCATAGTAAGTGTGTGTTTCACTGACGAGAAATTGCTGAACGCTTCTCCAAAGCAGCCGACCACGTTGCCTTCCCACCAGCAGTGCGGGGGAGTTGCAGGTACCCCGCCTCCTCACCAGCACTTAGTGTAATCAGGCTTTCTAATTTTGGCAGTTCTGATGGGTGCAGTCGTATCTCGCCGTGGTTGTAATTGCGTTTCCAGATGATGGACGACGTGGAGCATCTCTTCGTGTCTGTATCAACTGCAGATCTTTCATGAGATGTCTGCTCAAATCTTTTGCCCATTTACAGAGATGGGGCTGTCTTCATCTCACTGGGCTGGAGGAGGTCTTTGTGTATTCTAGACACAGCTCCTCCGTCAGACGCACACATTGCAAATACTTTCTCCCAGCGTGCAGCTGGCCTTTTCATGTTCTTAAATGATGTCTTCTAAATAGCAAAAGTCTTTAGGTTTTTTTAGAGTCCAATTTATCCCCCCTTTTTTTTGTGGTTCAGTGTCCTATTTTGAAAATTGCTGGGTGAGGTGTCTCATGCCTGTAATCCCAGCACTTTGGGAGGCGGAGGCGGAAAGATTGCAGTTGCCAGGAGTTCGAGCCTGGGCAATGTTGTGAGACCGTATGCCTTAAAAAAAAATTGTTTAAAATAGCCAGGCGTGGTGGTGCACACCTGTAGTCGCAGCTACTCAGGAGGCTTAGGCAGGAGGATTGCTGGAGTCCAGGAGCTCGAGGCTGTGGTGAGCTATGATCATGTCACTGCCCTCCTGGGTAACAGAGTGAAATCCTGTCTCAGAAAAATAAATAAATAAAAATAAAAAATCATTGCCTGCTCCAAGGTGGCCAACCAGTGTGTACAGAACTCCCGATGTGCACCTGGCACTGAACTCAGCCCTAGAGATATGGCAGAAAACAGCCGTCTTGGCACTGACGTTCTAGTGGGGGCACCCCCTTCGCCCCTTTCCAGCACCTGTTCCCCAACACCACCCGGAGAGAAGTCCAGCGGGCCTCGCCAAGTTTCCCTCTGCCATTGCTGTGTGAGCTTGGGCAAGGCCTTTGGCATCTCTGTGCCTCACCCTCTCCGCTCTGATGTAGCCTGGGAATGCACATCTGCCCTCCAGAGTATCGGGAAGAGAACCAAGTGGGAGCCTTACCTTACCCAGAAAGCCTTACCTGGGGTGGGCTCAGGTGGGGCCCAGGCGAGGACTGGGTCTGGGGGCTGTGATGTGGGAGGAGTGGGTGACCCGAGGCAGACCCACCTCCAGAGAGAGTCAGAGGCTGCCCTGCCTGGGGGAGGCTGCCTGGGAGCCTCGGACCCCTTGCCTGCCCTGCGCAGCCTGACTCCCAGTGTCCTGCGGGCCAAGTGTGAGGCTGCCAAATAGCAAGGGACAGAGGCCCTGTGCAAGGAACAGATGAGGAAACAGAGGTTCCAGCGTGCAGAGGTTGGCCTGGGGTCACCCAGAAGGCAGGTGCAACTGGAAACCCTGCTCCTGGAAAGGGCCAGCGTGGGCCCCACCTACCTGTCAGGTGCCACCAGCCAGGTCTCTGATGGACACAACAGACACTGGGCCCTGGGGTGGGTCCCCAGGATACGTCCTGGAACCACTGAGAACATCCAGGACAGGCACCCTCACTGGCCTCTGCCTCTTGCTGGCTGTGGAGACCGGGAAACCCCTTCCCTTGGGGCAGGAGGCAGAGCAGTGGGGACTCACACACCTGCCTGTCCTGGCAAAGCACTGGCTCATTTGTTCATCTGTTGACTCATTCATTCATTCATGAACCTGCTCATTCATTCGTTCATTCATTCGTGAACTTGCTCATTCATTCATTCATGAACTTGCTCATTCATTCATTAATTCATGAACTTGCTCATTCATTCATTCGTGTTTGTTCATTCATTCATTCATCGGTCCATTCATTCATTCATTCAGCCATTCGTTCATTTCTTCATTCATTAGTTCATTCCTTCATTTCTTCACTCATTCCCTGATCCCTTTGACAGTCTGACCCCCTTTCACACAGTCCTGGCAGTTGGGAGGTGGCCTAGCTCTCCCCAGAGAGACATTTTCCTGGAGGTTGGAATTCTGGCCAAAGGATTCCAAGAAGGACGGACCTTCTGTTGGGTCCAGAAACCAGCAGGTGACCGTAGGCTCCTGTCACTATTCTAGATGCAGGGGCTTTGCCTGGGGCTGCCCAGCCCTGCCCGATATGGGCCCCAAGCCTGGACCTCTTGGGGCCTCAGCTTTCCGGTCTGTAAGATGGGTGTCACGGCCCATCCAGGCTGTTGGTGGAATGAGCTAATTACTGGCGGGAAGAGGCTTGGCAGGGGTCTCAGGCTGAACAGTGGCACTGGCCCACGCGCCCTGCTGGGGTGAGCTGGCCTCCGGGGACTGGCCTTGGCTGAGGCCCCTCCAGACCACGGACAGTCCTGGCCTCACCTCCCCTGGCTCAGGGTGGCTGAATCAGCCGGCGGGGGTGACTCACTTTGAGGCCAGGCAGTTTCCTCCCGGGCCCCCGGCTGCCACGCTGGGGAGACAGGCAGGCCCCGCCATATGAGGCCTGGGACTTGGGGGTGATTTCATGTCTGGAGGTTGGGCCAGGAGGCCCTCGGCAGGGGTGATTCTGGGATCCTGGGCCCCACCCTTCAGAGCTTCATTTGGCCGCAAGGGTTCTGGTCTAGGAGACTCCTGGTCCAGATGCGCCCTGGGCCTGCCCTGGCCTCGTCAGAGTCCAGCTCATCCTGGCCCCTTCCAGAGCCACCAGCCGCGCTGACCTCTCGCTCCCCTCTTGGGCCGCTCTTGCCTCCTGGAATGTGACCAAATTAGGCGTCTGGTGACTAACTTTCCTGCCCGAGCTCCACCTCCAGTTGGTCAAAGGATTTCCCTTCCTTGAGGGCTCCCCTAGTCCGGTTCTAACTTCTCCCCTAGGGAGTGCAGGGAGGTCCTCAGCTCGCCTCTCAATCTGGGCCTGCCCCTGGCCTGCTTGGGAGCCCCCAAGGCTCTCGGAAGCTTTTCACGGGAACAACTTTACAGTCGAATCTTGCAGGCACGCAGTGGGTTTGTTAATGCACGCATAGGGCTTTTCTTCAGCCAGGCAGAAGGTCTCCGGGCTGGGTTCCACTGATCCCAGCAGGGGGTCCGCTTGGGGATGGAGCGCTGTGTCACTCCGCTGGAGACCTCCCTTAGAATTGAGACTGTCAGCCCTTCACCAACCTCCTTAGCCAAACATTGTTCTTACTTTTGCAGTTGGGGAAATTGGGCTGTTGTATTTCAGGAATGCACTTGAAAAGGAGCCTGGTGATCCCTGGCCTGGCACGCTGAGGCCCTGCCTGGGCTGGCGTGTGCTGTGCCGGGTAAAGCACGGAATTACACGGTCACCTAACGTGACTCAAACCCTGGTCCCAGCTCTTCCTCGCTGTGTGGCCCCAGGCACGTTCTTTAACTCTTCTGAGCCTGCTCACCTCGTCTCTAAAGTGGGGGTCACAATGTCCATCCCGTGGGGTGGGAGGTGAGTGTGAAGCGAGATTGCACAGGTGGATCTGGTGGCATGGGGTCTGGTGCAGAGGGCGTTCACGGCTGTGGAGCTGGTGGCACGGGGTCTGGTGCAGAGGGCATTCACGGCTGTGGAGCTGCTGTCACGTATGATGTCTCTGTCACACCCAACAGTGACGGGAACCGGGCCCTCCACACCCCGATACGTGCCGCCCGGAGCTTCTGCCGTGTGTGCCATGTCCTTTGGGTCCCCGTGGGCCCGGTGGGCCTGCAGTCATCCTGCAATGCTGCCTCCTCCTCCTCTTCAAGGCCCTGAGTACAGCGGCTAGAAATGAGGCCTCCCCTCCTATCCTCCTATTCCCCAAGCCAAGCGTCTCCCCACCTGTGGCTGGCCCCTGAGAACTCCCTGACGAGGGACGAGGTGCCTCTCAGCAGCCCCCAGTTTTGGAAAAGTGACAGACGTCCCCATGGACGCAGCCTGCCCTGTGGCCCTCCCTCGATCTGCCGGGCAATTACTGTGTGCATCACACTCCAAAACCTGGTGGCATGAAACAGCCGCCTCATGTTCTCTACGGATGCTGCAGAGCAGACCTCAGACGGGGCCAGTGAGTGGGGCTTGTGTGCTCCTGATGCTTGGGGTCTGGGCTCAGCGGGCTCCCTGGGGGTGGGGGTGGGTGGGGGGCTCAGCGGGCTTCCTGGGGGTGGGTGGGGGGCTCAGTGGGCTCCCTGGGAGTTGGGGGTGGGGGGTGACGGCACCTACACCCTGTGCGTCTTAGGCTTCCTCCCAGCGTGGTGGCCCCAGCAGAACCAGACTTCCTTCAAGGCGGCTGAGGACTCCAAAAGCCGGTTGGTTCCAGCCACCCAGGTGTAAGGTGCGTGGCCTTTTACGACTGAGTCTCAGAGGCCACAGAGCGTCACTTCCAGCAGGTTCTGTGGTTGATGAAGTGCCAGCCCGCCTGGATCCAGGGGGATACAGACCCCCACCTGCTGATGTGAGAGATCAAGGGACTGGTGGTCCTGTTTTAAAACCACCACACCCTCCTGGGTGCAGGAACTCTTTTGACCCAGGTGGGCTTTGGCCGGGGGTCAGCAGGCATCAAGCTAGTTGTGCTGTGCACAGCACCTGCTTTGCTCTCTAGTCCCAGGGACAGGCTCCGGTGTTCATGACATGGACACAGGCCAGCTAGTCCCTCTGAACCAGAGGGTATGTCTTGCCACACTGTGTGCCAGGCACACAGTGGGCACTCAGAAGTTTGATGAATGAATGTACAACCAACTCTAAACCCAGACAGGACTCTTACAGAGGCAGCTGGGTCAGAAGGAATGGAACCGCTGCCTCGAGGAGCACCAGAGACCTTGGGTGGGGTGGGGAAGCTGAGCCTGGGAGACAGCGGGTCTGGCTGGGGTGCCAGACCTGAGGCGGGAGCCCCCCCTCCGGGCCTCTCACACTTCTCCCCTCCAAGCTACCCAAGTCAGAAGGAGTCTTGTCATTTTGTTTTTGGGCTGATTATCGTTGCTCTCTCAATACACTCAAGCAAACTACGCGCTTCAGAAGGACAAGGTCCTGGTCGTACACTGGTGCTCCTAGGAACCCACATTTATGTTTTTCTGTAGGCTGAAGAAATCACAACAGGAAGCTGTCACGAAGATAGACAACCCTGGCATCAACTCTCTGCATTGAAGGAGGGCAGAGACGCTGCCCCCCAACCCCGAGGTGGTGAGGGGGTGAGGTTTGGCCAGGGATGGGGTGGGGGTGGGGGCCCCTCTGGAGGGGTAAGGCTTGGCCAGGGATGGGGTGGGGGTGAGAGGCCCCTCTGGAGGGGTGAGGCTTGGCCAGCGACGGGGGAGGGGCGGTGAGAGGTCCCTCTGGAGGGGTGAGGCTTGGCCAGGGACGGGGTGGGGGTGAGAGGTCCCCTCTGGAGGGGTGAGGCTTGGCCAGGGACGGGGTGGGGGTGGCCTCTGGGTGCCCCCGGCCCAAGGACTGACCATGCCCAGGACCAAGCTCTGGGTACTCTGGGACTGGGGACTGGGGCCCGGGTACCTGAGATGGGGTGGGGGAGACTGGCCCAAGGGCCCATAGGGAGCGGGGGAAGGCAGGCTGGTTCCACGGACCCCCGCCTTCCCACTCCCACTCTGGGATCCTCTTGTACCTGGCTCAGGGTTGGGATTCAGCCTGGGCTTGCCCCGCCAGCCTTGCCTGTCACTGGGCCATAAACCCCTCCTGTTTATGGGCCGGGCCGCCCCAGTGGAACCTGGCCAGGTTCCTCCTAAGAGGGCAGGCTCACTGCCTCTGGGAGTCCCCTGCACACCACACTGGGCGGCCGCCGGAGGCCCGATGAGGTGGCTGGAGGTGTGGGAGGCCCTGTGAGCAGTGGGTGGTCCCCCTGGGGGGATGGCGGCTGCAATTCTCAGGCCCCAGGCTCTTCCTGGGCCTTAGGAGGCCAAGGGCATCCAGGCAGCCCTGCACACCCCTTCACCACCCACCCCACCCCCGGTGCAGGGGAGGCCTGTGCAGGAGGCCCCACACCTGTCCACCTCCACCTCTAGGCTGAGAACCCAGGACAGCAGGGGCGGGGGCCCCAGCGTAGGGGGACTGGGTCTGTCCCCACTAAACGTGTGACATGCACACGGAGTGTTGGTTTAATGCCACAGACGCTCCCCGGTGCCTCCTGTGTCAGTGTTGGGGACTCAGGGGCCCTCAGAGAGTCCCTGTTCCAGCAGGCAGGTGGGGACTGCAGATCCCTTGGAGAGTGTGGGCAGGTAGAGGAGGGTCGCCCTGAGCCCCAGGAACCCACTTGCCGGCCTCAGGAGGCAGCTGCACACCCGGCCCCCACCCAGCCCCCTCCCAGTTCTACTGGCCCCTGGGACAGGCTGCAGGGCTGGTCAGGAGTCTGGCACCACACCGGCCCCCAGAGGTGGTGCCTCTGCCGGCAATGAGTGGGTGGCACAGGGTCTGCTCATCAAGTCTCCACTGGCGCAGCCTAGACACTGTCCCCAAATGGGAGCCCCCCGCCAGCTGGGAGGGGCCTTCCAAGTCCAGGAGGCAGACAGGATGCCCTGTGCAGGCGACAGAGAGGGCAGCCGCTCTGAGCTCAGGGCCTGGGGAGGCGACTGTGTGGCAGGCGGGGTCTGTGTGGCAGGTGGGGTCCCGTGTGGGGAATGCCCAGAGCCCTGCTGACTCCACTGGGTTCCGGGCATCCCTGGTCTGACCTCCAGGTCGGCTCCTGGGACCCCACTGGTCTGAGGGATGGGGAAGGAAGGGGTAGGATGGGCAACCGTGCCGAGGAGGGGACCCCAGCCCTGGACTCTGGCTGGCTCTAAACATCTTGGGACCCACCGGTCCAGTCTGGCTGCAGAGAGGCTTGGAGGAGCCACCAGAGTGAAGGGGGGTCGCCAGCATCTTTAGAAACCGCAGGATGCTGATGCCCCCGGAGCCCCCGTTGGCTCGCTCGGGGAGTGAGGGCCCTGGGGGATGTGTGAGCTGTGTCTGTCTCAGCAAGTCTGGCTTCCCTGGGGCCTGGGAGAGGACACTGAGGGCTTGCTGTCCCCATGTGGGGGTTGCAAGGTGAACCTCTCAGGAGCTCCGCCCTCCTGTCTAGGGGGTCTCCCCTCTCTCCCCCCACCTTGCTGGGGTGACGGGGAGGCCCGGAGGGCCCCAAGATTCTCTGAGGCCTGGGGGCTGGTCTGGCCGGCAGGGTCAGGAAGTGAAGGACTGGCATGGGGGAGGGAGGGGAGGACTGGAAAGTGCATTCCAGGAGGGTGACACAGCCTGCGGCCTTGGGGCGGGGCGGGACCAGGCTGGGCTGCCCTTCTCGGGAAGGTCCCTGGGATCCAGCTCCCCAGGGAGGCAGATAAGACGGGTGGGGCCTGGCTGCATGGGAAGAGGAAATTCCAGGCCTGGGACAGCTGCTGCTGTCCTTCAAGGCTGGATTGAAATGCCGCCTCCTCCCGGAAGCCTTCTCAGATTCCTCTGCAGCCCCTGGACAAAGGGCGCCTCCTCCAGGGACCCTGGCTTCCCTGGGCTGTGGTCTGGTCAGCCCCGTGCTGGGCCCTCCATGGCCCTGATCCACTGCAGCTCAGTGCACCCCTGCTGTGTGCCCTGGAACCTAAGCAGGGCCTGGCCGGGCCACCCACACCCACAGAGCTGGGGTGGGTGTGTTCCCTGCACCCAAGCCCCACGGCCAGGCATGGAGGGAGGGGGTGTATGAGTGAGGGCCACGGCCTGGTAGGGGGAGTCGGTGGTATCCTGCACTGGGTTTCCTGGTGCTTCCTGTGCCCAGCGCTGTTTCGAGCCCTCTGCATGGATGAACTCAGTCTCTGTTCCTGGTTCCTCTGGAGTGTAGGTAAATCAGCCCCGTTTTACAGCCGAGGACACTGAGGGCAGTTGTGGTAAGGCCAGGTCCCTGGCAGTGCCTCTCCCACCTGGGGCAACCTGGGAGCTGGGTGTCTTTTTTTGGAGGGAAACCCCTCAGGAGAGTGAAAGCCAGGCTCGCTGTCCCTGGGGGCTTCCACCGCTATGAAGGGGTGTATCCCCGGCCCCTGAACAAGACCCCCCTCCACCACACCCAGGCCCCCTTGGTCGCCGCTTCCCCGGCTCGGCAAGGCTCCACGGAGCCCACTTCGGGGAAGTGAATATGGATGAGTTTAGGCCCCCGAAAGTCTCCCGAGCACAGGCTGGTGGTGCCCAGTGGTGATAACCACCCCCGCCCCCCATGTACCAGGCACTGGCATTGGCTCATTTCATCCTCACCACCGCCCGAAGTCAAGGGGGGCTGCCAGCCTCCAGGTGGGCCCCGAGGTCCCACCTCCCGATGCCTGTGCCCTCTGGAGCCCCTCCTGCATTGACAGGGTCCGTGCTGGAGTGGTTAGCCAGGCATGGTGGTGCGTGCCTAGAGTCTCAGCTACTTGGGAGGATGAGGTGGGAAGATGGCTTGGGCCCGGGAGGTGGAGCTTGCAGTGAGCCGTGACTGCACCATTGTGCTCCAGCCTGGGCAACAGAGCCAGAGTGGTCAGAAAAGACACGGGGGCTTTGGCCTTTGCTGTTTGGGTCTCTTGCTCCCCGGGAAGCCAACCGCCGTGCTACGAGGACACTCACAACAGTAGCTGCGGGGCGAGAGACCCACGCCTCCTAACAACCATGGCCTGGCCCACGGGATCCCAGGGAAGCTGTTTCTGAGTTCCTGACCTACGACATCGTGAAGTCGTGAATTTGTTTTGTTTTTGTTTTTTGAGGCAGGGTCTGGCTCTGTTGCCCAGGCTGGAGCACAATGGTGCAGTCACGGCTCACTGCAAGCTCCACCTCCCGGGCCCAAGCCATCTTCCCACCTCATCCTCCCAAGTAGCTGAGACTCTAGGCACGCACCACCATGCCTGGCTAACTTGGTAATTTTTTGTAGAAATGAGGTCTCTCTATGTTGCTCAAGCTGGACTCAACCTCCTAGGCGCAAGTGATCTCCCACCTCGGCCTCCCAAAGCGCTGGGATCACAGGCGTGGGCCATGGTGCCCTCCACGAGTCTTCACTGTTGGGTTGAGACTCTGCGTTTGGAGGTAGTTGCAGTTTATCAGGCAGCAACAGGGAACCATGGCAGTGAATGTTATATCATTTCTGGGATACTAAGGATAAGTGTGGTTGTCATCCTGGAACTCATCCAGGAACAGGCTAAAAGGAGATTCTGGACCCCGGGCCGTCAGGGCTGAGTGACCCTCATCTGTGGGACCTCACGGCCTTTCTGGAATTCCAGGATCTCTGTCGGACACTCTGGGTGACACCCCGCAGTTCCTGGAGGCCCCTCCAGCCTGGTTTCACACAGGGCCTCGCTGACGGGCCAGAAGACCACGATGGCTTTGAAAAGCGAGAGCGGGCAGCGCTGCCTCCTGAGGGTTCTCTAGGGACCGGGCCGGGCCGGCTTGGGCCTAGGCCAGACCTAGCCCCTGAGGTTTGCTAATGGAAAGTGGGTCTGGGCTTTGCCCCCATCAGCTCCTCCAACAAGAGCCCGGGTTGGGGAGGACAGAATTATTTATAACCTGTGGACTGCCAGGGAAGGGCTCTGTAACTCAGGGAGGGCCCCAGACTTGGCAAGGGCGGTGCCTTCAGGAGCCAAGCCCCTCACCTCTCCTGCCAGGGGCTCCTTTTAGCGTCTTAAGGTGGATCTCCCCATTCCCTGGGCTTTTTGGGTAGCCAGGGAGCAGAGCTGTGACCTGACTGGCTTAGGGTTTTGCTTTTTTTTTTGAGATGGAGTCTCCCTTTTGTCGCCCAGGTTGGAGTGCAGGGGCGTGATCTCGGCTCACTGAAACCCCTGCCTCCCGGGTTCAAGCGATTCTCCCGCCTCAGCCTCCTGAGTAGCTGGGATTACAGGCGTGAGCCACCACGCCCGGCTAATTTTGTATTTTTAGTAGAGACGGGGTTTCTCCATGTTGGTCAGGCTGGTCTTGAACTCCCAACCTCAGGTGATTCGCCTGCCTCGGCCTCCCAAAGCGCTGGGATTACAGGTGTGAGCCACCGTGCCCTGCCGACTGGCTTAGGTTTTAAAATTAAGGCTCACTCTAGGACCGTAGGGAGCCAGGGAGAAGGCTGAAGGGAGGCCACAGACAGGTATCCTGGGAGAAGAGGTGGGACCAGGTGGAGGTTCTACCTGGTTAGGTTTGGGAGAGGCTCAGAGGTTGAGTCAACAAGGGCTCCCCAGAC